ATATTCTCACTTCTTTTGCAAGTGGTGCTGTCTTATGTATCTCCTAACTGGTGATAGGTAACCAGCTCTTTCTTCTCATTATACTTATTTCTCTTCCAGAGTGTAGTCCTGTTCTGGGCTGGTCTTGCAGTTTGACTCCAGCCTCCTTCCCCACTGCCTCCTTGGCACAGGTGCTGTGTCAGTACACACAGGGTGCTAGTGTTTTGCTCTGCAAACACTGTACAATGTTTGACTTGCTGCAGAGAAGCGAAGAGGATTGCATGGAATGTCTGAGCAGTCAGGGTCCTGTAAATTTCAGTGAAGTTTCTTGTACAGTACCACACCTGAAAGGATGGATGCAAAGAATAATGTTTTCAGGTCCTTTATCCATCTGTTTCAGCAGTTCATTCAGTGCAAAGCTTATTTTTGTTTAACAGCTAAGCCAACTTCACTAACAATGTATAAATCTACAATTAAAAGAGTTTGCAAGTTCAACATTTTCAAAGCAGGTTTCACTTTCCCTAGACCTAAGGAAGATGAAAAAGTGTGAATGTCCTTGTGATGGAGAGAAATGCTGTTTCTTTATGTAAATTAATCCAAGCTCCTATCTAGTTACCAGTCCCATTGCTGTAGTCATCTCTTGAAAAGAGGTGGCGTTGGGAGAAGCTAGATTTGGCTCCAGGACAGTCATATGCTGCAAATTTGTGGCTAAATGTCAATGCCATTATTTCAGGACCAAGTGGAATCAGATATACCTGCCTGAAAGAGATGTACCTGCAGAGCCAGATATGAAAATAAATGGGAAGAAAAGTAGGAGGGAAGTGGACATGGTTGATATTGAGTCACAGTGTCTGAGGCTCAGTTTGTTCCTAATCCAGCACTTCCCACCAAGTAGGTGTCTAGTCCCACCCAATTTGAGAGTATTTTAGGTTCTAAAGGTGTCTGCTAAAGAGGTCTATTGACAAAAACTCAGTAACTTACACTTATGTTTTACTAAGCAGAGGAGTGCCACCTCAAGACACAAATCCCTCAGGAACTAGGCATCTCTGCTTCTTCTCTTTTCCAAGTTACTTGGTATTACTGTTACCAGAACTGCTTCAGTGGTAGAAAACAGGGCAAGTTTTCCTGCCATACCAACAGAGATACATCTACAGACAGTTGTTCAGGAATATATATGTTCTGGACATGCTGAGACAGCATTTGGTTTCCCTCTACTTTGGTGCTGGTTGCACCAAGTGCCCCTGAGTGTGGAGAGGAGTAGGTGTATACTGGCTGCAGCATTGCTAGCTGGAACAAGTGGACAGTTCTCAAAGGAGAGGAAAGATACTGAGGAGGATATCACCCAGTCCCCAGCTGCTGAGTCTCTCTCTTTGTTTCACTATGCCTTCTTCCCCCTTCTCCCTTGAAATTATAACTCCACATGGCTCAGGCACAAGCCATTCACTGTGATTATTTCCCTTTTTTTTTTAACTATTCCTCAATTTGCTCTCCCTATCTCTGTAGGTAGGAAAAGATGCAGTTTCTGTTTGGAAGGCTGATGGGGAGATGGTAGTTTTTTCTCTCTTGAGTGGAAAGGTACAATCTGGCACATTGCGTGTGGAAGAGATGAAGAAGCAGAGTTGTAAAGTGTGTATGTGCAGCATATAGATCAAACCTGTCTCTGCCAGCATCTGTTGCCCTGAGCTAAACAAATGAGGCATTTGAATTTTAGTCAAGTTGACTGCTGGTTCTGTCCCAGTTAGTGAGAGATTCAGTGGAGCTGAGTCACAAGAGCCTGAAGGGAAGGAATAGAGTGAAGGAGAGAGAGGAGGTGCCTCTGTGAAAGGCCTTTCTCTAACTCAACAAAAGAGAAGGAAACCTGTGTGCAGGATGAAGGAGGGGTGGCTGGGAGAAGGTTACGAGTTGTATTATTACGGAGAAGCTTGAACTGTCATCTGTACTTGATAGAAGGGAGAGGGATTGCAGTTGGAGCTGCAGAAGCGCTGCTTCCCCGATTGGATTAATAGAAAGGGAAGATGACTCTAGAATGGCTGCCCATTATCTGCACTACAAAGGGATTAGTGTGGGTTTCAGAGAAATTAATGGCTTTTGAGTTAGCACAGAAATACTAATGAACATCAGGGCCAGAGATGTACAGAGGACAAAATTTGTTCTCTTTTACTGTGTGTTTGCATTTGGGATATGAAAGTGTTTTTTCTCTACTATTTTTGAGTTTTAGATTAGGCCTTCAGTTTTCGTATTTAGCTGAAAAACTCTTGACTAGCTTATTTGTCAGCAAAGTTTAGGTATATTGATTTCTTCCCCATCTTTTAAGACCTAGTGCCGAAGTAGCAATTTTTAAAATTTCGTTTTGATTTTAGTCACATATGCAGGAAATCTTTCTAGGTGAAGCGTAGAGCACTTTGAATGTGGTGTTAAATGCAGGCTCCATTCTAAATAAGTGGGCAATGTAGGGGAGCAGAGGCTAAGCTGGCAAGGCAAAACCAAAATGCATCCTTTTAGTGTGGATGGGAGGTAGCATCTTTCCCCTGTTTTTTAACCTCCATGAGGTTTGCATACTCAAATTAAGTATATAAAACAATTTTCCTGCATGTTCACTAGGTTTAACTGGAATTGTCTACTTAATCCTTTTAAATCTTTAAAGTTGGTCTTCACTGAAAAGCTAGCCAAAGCTTTTCCACTCTTGCTGTCAGGAATCCTCCTCCTGCCCATCCACGAAACTCACAACCAAATAGAGCAGTGCTTTCAGCAAGGATGGGAGCCTGTCCTTAGACTGTAGGTTACAGCCTAAGTTCTGGTTTCTCACCAGTTGGTGTCAGAAGCCCCCTGGACAGTAACAAAATCCCCGAAATACACAGTCCCTGACCCTCCTTGCACCCCTAGGAGGATGGACACCATTAACCAGTAGTGGTGGAAGCAGCTTGGCCTGGAATACTGGACATACTAGCAGAGAAGCCTAGTACAGATGGAGATGCAGTGACTTCTGTAGAGTCTCAACTTTGTTTCCCAGCTTTGTCAAGCCCAGATGCTTCTGTTCTCTTAGCTCTGCATTGAAAACATCCTAGGTATACTCGGAGGTAATCATGTCTAAAACTTGTTAGAGCATGACCTGTTAATGTGAGTGGTAACTGGTGAAGCTTAGAAGGGAAAAATATTTTGCGCCTCAAGCTGTCTGCCCTAACCCTGTTTCACAGGTTGTCAGCCTGAGGGCAGAAGCTCCTGTATTACTGCAGTTCATAGGCTGTTTGTTAAGGTCGAGTGATGTTGATTTTGTTTTGACCTAATTGTGCTGGATACGGGTGAGGAGCTGGTCCCAGGTGGCTACCTTGCTCCTGCATCAGGAAAAGCAGTCTCCAAGGGAGATGGACAACCAAAGGCAGAAACTTCTTCACTGGTGTCTGTTAATTCTGCCACTGGAAATTATGACCTATCACGGGTATCCTTACTGGAAAGGTGAAGTAGAAGTCAAATGGCAGCAATAATTTGTTCCTCAGGCTAGGTTGTTTTAGGGTGCCAAGCGTTGAAGCTGGTATTAGAGCATAACAGTGAATGCCACTGAATTTATACAGGGACCAACAGAAATTGCATAGAGCCTTGTCTTCAGCCCAAGGTGAAAATACTATGTTAGCATGTATTAATGTGGACTGAAGTAATGCAAATCAGATTGGAACAAATTTTGCATGGAAACCTTTTCTAAAGCTCAGAAATACTTTAGATAATTCCTTTTGAATTCATATCACTTTGGTGCTCAGATTGATTTGTGACTGATTTTCTTGGGACGAAGAAAATTCCCCTTGACTTGGTCTCGGGCCAAGATTTGTGAACGGATCTGCTCCAAAGCATCTGAGGTGCTTAGATATGTGTGTTTCAGTCTGGACAGTGTCTCTTCGTTTTTGGTCATGTCTCCTGCTCCTGAGCCACATTCTTGTAAATCAGCAAAGCTGCTTTCTATTAAACAGAGCTGTGCAAAACATTCCAGTCCCAGGTTGTGCCGAAATGCTGTAAGAAACCACTGTTGTTGGGCACAATTCTCTATTTTTTGTGTCCTGGGTAAGTTCAGGTGCCAGGGATGGTGTAAAGGGTGCTGGCAGAAGGGGCTGTTCCAGCTGGCTCCAGCTGCTTTCATCAGCCCCAGTGAGGCACAGTTGTGCCCCTTCAGCCTCAGGTGGAGCCTTCTGGCAGAGTCAATGCCTTTCAGAAAGGACAAAGCAACACAGTGGTGTGAGGAGCACCCAGGTTTAGAGGAGGCAAAGGTGCTGCAGGTGCTAGGGCAAGGATTCCCCTGCAGTCCCTGAGGAGAACATGGTAGAGTGGTATCTCCCTGCATCCCCATGCAGGATCTCATGCTAGAAAAGGCAGAGATTTCCTGAAGGAACTGAAGCTGTGGGGAGCTCATGCAGGAGCAGGTTTATCCTGAAGGGTGGCAGCCCCTGCAGAGAACCCACAATGGAGCAGGGTAAAAGCATGAGGAGGAAAGAGCAGCAGAGGGAGACTGACCACAACCCCCTGTTCCCCTTTCTTCTGTGCTGCTTTGAACTGGGAGAAGGTAGAGGGGTGTGAAAGAATGAAGTTGGGCCTGGGAGCAGGGAAACAGGAGAGGAAGGTAGTGTTCTAATTTTTATTTCTTTCTCACTGTCAAAATCTGTTTTAATTTGCTATAGATTCCTTGCTAATATTGTACTTTTCTGGACTAGGCTGTGGAAATCTTGCAGTGTTCTGTTGTTCTGTCACTATTCTCCTGGATGATCTCATGAAAATGGCTTTGTTTCTCCATTCCTCTGTTTCCCTGTCCCCTTTTTGTGAAGTATTTTGGTATCTGTGGGTAAAAAACTGCTGTATTCTCATTGACTCAAATGTAGTTAGTACTTGTGTTTGATAATTATAACCTACTGTGTGAAGATGGCTATTCTTGTGATATATCACGTAAAGGTAGGAGAGATATGTAAGTCAGAATCATGTAGCAGTTTGAAACTATTATGTTAAAAGAATTAATGGTTATGTTCTCATTTTGTTTCCTCCAGAACACAAGGCATTGTTCCCAAACATTCTGAAGAAGGGATACTTAGAAATTAGAAGAAACAATGACAGCTACTGGCAAGCCTGTTACGCTGAGCTCTCCCCATACAAACTGTACCTGTATTGCTTGGACAGCAGTGGCAACCAGGCTCTTCCCACCGTGTATCCGCTCATGCATTTTCAAAGGGTCACTGTTACTGGTTGCATTGAAACCAAGGTGGTGGATGCTGTCCTGTCAGACAACTCACAGCTACAGCTGAAGGCGGAGTCCTCATGGGAAGCTTTGGATTGGGGACAGAAACTCTGGGAAGTGGTGAGAGCTTCTGTGGCTGCTTTCACAAGACAGCAGAAGAAACTGGAGAATGTGCCAAAGCCTGAAAATAACAGTGACCTTTCACAAACCAATGGGTTACTAGAGAAGCCTATGGAGCTCTTCCTGTCCATGAATTTGACTGAAAACACTAAAGAGTACCAAAATATTCTCAAATCAGGGACTCTTTATAGGTTAACTGTCCAGAATAACTGGAAGGCATTTACTTTTGTCCTGAACAGGTCTTACCTCATGGCATTCCAACCGGGTAGGCTTGATGAAGATCCTTTGCTGAGCTACAATGTCGATGTGTGCCTGTCGGTCCAGACAGATACTCAGGATGGCTGTGACTCTTGCTTTCAGGTAATTTTTCCTCAAGATGTCCTCCGCCTACGTGCAGAGACCCATCAGAGGGCCCAGGAGTGGATGGAGGCACTGACAGTAGCAGCCAATGCTACTAGAAGTTTAACTCAGAACCCACAAGTCACACTTAGGAACAAACCTGGAGATCGGCTGTTTGTAAAAGATCTTAGAAAGAGCAAGCGCCAGTCTGTGACCACCAGCTTCCTGAGCATCCTTACCACACTGTCTCTAGAGAGAGGGCTCACAGTTCAGAGCTTCAAGTGTGCAGGTAAGCACCCAAGCTACAGCATCTGCACCCATTCCCTTTCTGCAGGAAGAGAAAATCTTTTGGAAGAACATGTATGTGTTTTAGCAGTACACAGCCATTCCCTGCTTCTTACTGTGGCTGTAGGCACTTTGGTGTGTTAGCCTTTCTTTGCTTTCTGTGAAATGTGGAGAAAAGCCTATGGGATATTCAGGGATTCAGCTGCGTTTGATGAGCAGTGCTGAAACATTAGATCCTCCACCTAAGGCACTACATGGGCCAAGGCTGCCTTACTGGGTGGCTGAGCTGTTTTCTTGATTCAGGACATGAGAAAAGCGGTCCAGAATCCAAATAATTTAAATTCTAGGTATGGTGCAACTTTCCAGCCTTGAGTACTTTTGGTTTTTTTTATTACTGTGTCTCCTCCAAGTAATATTTTGGAACCTGTTTCAGCTCTGGGTCCTGCCTCCTCCCTACTCTGCTTTGAGGTAAGGGTCTGATGTGGAGGTCTCTGCTTGCTCTGGGAAAGGTCTCTGCAGGCCCAGGACATGCTGGCTGGCCTGAATCTCCTCTGGGAGAGACCTGAGCCCTGGAAATGCTGGATTACCCTCAAAACTGGCCATAGGTGCAGCTAAGTTCGCCCCTCTCCAGTAGTCAGTACAGGGTGATGTTCTGCTCGCCTCTTGGCAGTGTGGGAACCCACCTGGCAGCTGGAGCATCATGAAGGTTGGCATTGCTGCATGTAATGGTTTAATCACAGTATCTGGGCTTCTGCCTGAATTCAGTTCTGTTCTTACCCACAAACTCTTGGTGTTAGGTTTTTTCATCAAATAATTATGTGCCAAACTGCAGCTGAAACTGAAGGGTCCTGTGATAAGTCCAATTACCTGAACACTACCAGACAATGGTCATGTCTTGCCTCTAAGGGTAGTTGTGAGAGTAGAAACTGCAGGGAGACTCTTGAGAGTGGGTCAAATAAGTATCCCCCAGATAGATCCACCCCAGTGTGTTACCCAGCAGACAGCCTTGTGAAACTCAAGAAAGCAGCAGAATTAATGGCCTCATTTTAAGAAAATGCCCCACACAGCTTTTAAACTTTATTCCTTTCCCCTCATTTATTTTAATTCACAGTTCATTAAAATAAAATTTTATGTTTTTCCTTCATCCTCTGACTGAGGTCCAGGGGAGTTTCAAGTAAGCATTTTCAGCCTCCTCAAAAATAGATTAGGCCCTGGAATGGTAACAAAATGCACGTCACCAATAAGAAGCAGGTCTTACATTATTTGGTATGGGAGCAGACTTTTTTGTGGGAAGGGATGGATTTCCTCTCCTAAATGTGTCAATTCATCTGCACTGCTATATTCCCCACAGAAATAAAGTTCTCTGACCATGTCAGGCTTGCATGAAGGCTTTTCCTGATACACATGTGGCATTCCCAGTGTTCCTGTGGTCTCCTTTTAGTCTGCAAAACTGAAAACACTTGTGCATAGAAATGTGAGTTGTGGAGTGTCTGTGAGGAGCTGGTCGCTGAGATTCTGCCTCAATTTGGGGATGCACAGCAGTTGCTGTAGGAATGGTCCTTTTGCCGTCTGCTGGAAACCCTTAGATCTGGACTTTCAGAGTTGGCTGGAACTTGAAGCTGTTACCACGGCACAAATAAATGAATAATTGTAATTCTAGGTGGGAGAAACTGGGGAAACTTGTCTGGCTTAGAGGGTTAGCGCTGAGGAGACTTTGAAGGCGCTCTCCTTCCAGCGTGGTCCCTGCAGGCAGTTTTCGCTGCTCCCCGGCGTGGGCTGCTGTTTAACCTCACGGGCCTGCAGTTGGTAATTACAGCTCGCAGGCATGGGGAGCGTTTTTCCACAAGGCGGCTGGGAGGGGTAAGCTTGGAAAAGAATGAGGAGGGGGGAGGAAGAAAAGTTTTTCTGTGAATTCTTCAGCCATTTAGTGCAAATTCCTGTAATTACCGTCTTTGTGTCCTGTCCCAATGGCACATAATGCAGCAGAAGCCTTTCCTAATTGAGACCTTACAGGAGGTACAAATCCCTCCTTTGTTCGTCCTGACAAATTAGTGCCAGAAAGTGGCAAGGTCCGAGTGGGAATCAAAGGCAAGCAACACAAAGATGGAACTTAAGGCTACAGTAATAACCCTCTCTAGTCCTGCAGGGGTGGGAGGGGAGGAAAAGTAATGACCAATGAAAAATGAAGGTTTGCTGTGGTTTTTTTTGTTATAAATTCCCTTGACATGACAGCACCTCAGGGTTGCTTTATTTATTTAGGAAAGTGATTAAATAGTAATACAACAGGGCAGACCATTGTCTCTCGAGCTACCCCCCTTCCTACAGACCCCTGCTGCCTTGGCTAATTGATTGACAATGAACCTCTGATAAAGAAGGTTGTTGGGAGGACCTGATGGGGACGGGGTTTTTATTATTATTATTTTCTCTTTGCAGTCTTTGTGGGGTTCCCTTCCCCGACTTTTGTGGGTTTTTTTCCTACTTGAAATGCCCACTGCATCCCATTTTCCATTTCTCCCTCAGTAAAAGCTTTTCAAGGGACTGCTTCTAGACAAACAGCTGACACTCACAAGCAGGTAGAATGTGAATGTCTGTGCCTAGCTATCAACAGAGAAGTTTATCTTGAAGGCTGGCTAGCACTTTTCAACTCGTGATGTAAGCCCAGGGCAGTGTTGTCCTATGTAGTCATTGGGCAGGAGGACAGACTGTTGATATATTGAAATCAGAAGGGCAGCTTGAAAAAAATTTTCTTCTGCTTGATCAGCAGATACAAAAACTTGGCCCCACATTTCTATCTTTGTCTTCCTCTGGAGGGCAGGGAATTATTTCTCATGATTTCCAAAAATGAATAAATAGACCACTGATTAACAGTAGAGAGGCATGTTTTTACAAACAGTTTTACCTTTGCTACATTATTTATATTTTGGAACAGCAAAATGTTTTGAAGCATGGAATTGACTACAAGCTGCTGGCACTGGAATGGCAGCCTCCTCTGTCCTTTGCATGTTCATATAACTGCAGGCTTGATTTTGTCTTTTTGTTGAGATACAGAAGTGTTCCCATGGGAAGTGTTTGGTACTCTGAGCAAGAGTGGCATTTGTGAATTTTGGTCTGCTCTGGTGAGACTTCAGTAGGACCTACCTCTTGTCTTCAAATGGATATGAAGTGAAAGTTGGTTGCAAGTCAGGTATTATGATTTGTTCTTTAATATGTAGGAAATAAGAGACATGCATTGTGTTAGGATGATCTGGTGGAGGTATGGTGTTGTTACTTTTTATCTCTTTGTTTCACCTGGATTCAAGAGAAATCCTCAAACTGTTCATGTTCCAAATTTGATTTGAGGTGACTTCCATCAAAATGTGTTTGGTAGGTGCACCATCTTGCAGACAGTGGTAGCTGGTTGGGAGTGCTCCAGTGGCTGTCCTGTCTGCCTTTTGGGCTGACTAGGAGCTTGTGGGAAGAGGCAGGCAATTCTACTGGAGGAATGCTCATGGAGGTCTGTAAGGAGCAAATGTCCTCAGCTGCCCTTCACTGTTGCTATTCCGTAGGCATGTTCTTTCACGTTTCCAGAGATGGGGAAGACAAGCTGCCTCTGCCCTTGCCTTGTGGTTTTGCATAGCTCCTGTTCTTTTGATGTCTCTCTTTTCACCATTTCTTTTTTGGTCTCACTGTCCTTTATTGAAAAAAACTTTTTTTTCTGAGAAGTTGGTTGCATCTGCCAGAATCCTTGTTGGCTAGACAGCAAGTCTTAATGGATGTGGGAGATTCTGCCTTCTGCAAAATGTGCTTTGCACCCTTTTATTTATCTGTGTTTTTCCTTGCCCCTCTTCTGGATTGCTCTGTTTTATTCTGCTGTGAAGACAGGCTGAGAGAATTGGGGCTATTCAGCCTGCAGAAGAGAAGGTTCTGGCCTTACAGTGGCCTTCCAGTTCCTGAAGGGGCCTACAGGAAAGATAGGGAGACTTTTCACTAGAGAGCAGTGACAGGACAAGGGGTAATGGTTTTAAACTGAAAGAGAGTAGACTTAGGTTAGACATCCTGAGGAAATTATTCACTATCAGGGTAGGAAGGCAGTGGAATAGATTGCTCAGGGAGGTTGCGGGTGCCCCCTCTCTGGAGGTGTTCAGGGTCAGGTTGGATGAGGCTTTGTGCAGCCTGGGCTAGTGTGAGGTCTAGTGTGAGGCTCAGGAAGGTTGAAACCTAATGATCTCTAAGGTCCCTTCCAACCTTAACAATTCTGTGATTCTCCTTGCTGATTTTTCCATGTATTCTCACTTGTCAAAAGGATAAATATCTTAGTAGGGCTTGACTGAGTAGGTTGGCTGAGCAGGAGTACTAGGTTCAGAGAAGCCAGTTTAGTAAATGTAGTAAATGGGCTATTTCCTGAACTTGCAGCCCTGTCAAATTAAGCAGGAGGTGAAAAGCTGTTGGCTTTCAAAGAGTCTCATTCTGCCTCTGGTGCTTGGTGATCATGCGTGTAGACGGGCACTGTAGTCCAGTGCAATGTGCCCAGCTTATGCAGCCTGTTCTGGCTCACCCCACTGCTCTGAAACCAGCTCCTACTGCCTTAAAAGTAAAGTTCCTTTTTCTTTTACTTTTTTTTTTCTTTTGCCCCCTCAGTGATAACAAAGTATTTTCCTAATAGCTTGCAAGCCAGCAAGTGTGGTGGTGGTGGTGATGATGATGATGATAATAATAATAATAATAAATTAGCCAGGTTCAATGTTGACTTTGTTCAACTTCTCAACATGCCATATAATTGAAACTTCTCAAATCCAGATAGTTGAAAAACACGGGTGTTCCTTCCTTAAATTTAGCAAATATTTTCATCATACCCAGCACCTATTTGTAGCATGTCAGTGAAATAAAAATACTAAGGGACAAATCATAGCAAATACAGCACAAAAATAAAATACCAGAAGCTCATTTAGAAGGTTGTCAATACTTGCCACATTTTTAGTCCCAAATAAGTTTTCTAACACATCTAGGGCTTTTAGGATTGTGCTT